CACCCTGATGAAAGGGATAAACCACTGCTATCGGTAGAGTCAACAATTTACAAATATCTGGTAAAATTTTCAAGTACCCTGGGGTTGATTAATGAAGAAATAATAGTCATACACCTTGAAACTATCTATTCAAATCATATGATAACACCATATCTATATTTATGTAAGTGAAATGGCATTCAAGAGAGCATTCAGATTTCAGATATAGTTTTGTACATTGAATTGATGCAAATATAGGGAAGGTCCTAAGAAGGGCTATTCATGTGACGTCACGGGGATAGCTTACAACTCAACTGCTTGCAGACATTCGTGTTCTCAAGACGAACTATCGCTGACGTATTATGGACCCATCTCGGGTCAGAAAGAAAGTATCTGTACTAAGAAAATATCTCACATGTTATCTGTCAACTCTGTCATTGAATATTGACTTATAATTGTCAGAAATCGATTGTCAATTGATTTAATCATTGAAATAAAAATAAAGTAAACAATGATGGATCATTATATTTAAATGATATCTTACTGAGCACATAATATAATGTATGCGAAATTGTTTGAAATAAAGGTGAGTACAGTGAGGCGAAATACTGAAAGATAGTTCATAATACAGCATAACATGAAGTTATCATATAGCACAGTGAACATGATACCGAGTGTGACATCGATCTGATACTTAAGAACACGAAATTCAATGATTCCAGAATAATAATAACGGAGAATTCGTAGTGCAAAATAAAACCGTAACAACGTGCCAACTTATACTAGATGGAGGGATTTTGATTTGAAGTTATTGAATATATGATCTCATTTCTTGTGACCTCTCCCAATCAGCAAATCAAATTGTGAGTTTAGTAGTTCATCGATTTTGAATACACATGAAAAGAAGGCTGTGATATAGTAGTGTATGTCATTGACTCGATTTTTGACGGTTGTTGAAACTGTCAAATGTCGTGGCGGCCCTCATTCTTGGCCTCCTAGGTCCCCTGATCTCATAGTTTTGGACTATTTTCTTTGGGGACATATGAAACAATTGATCTATCAGACTGGAGTCAATACCAGAGACGAACTGAGGGAGAGGATTGTTACAGCTGCAGATATAATCAGAAATAATAGGCAAATCATTGGAAAATCCATTAGAGGTCTCCCGAAGTGATGCAGAAAATGTTTAGAAATTGGAGGACATTTTGAGAATCTTGATTAATATTAAGATTCTGACAATTTTTTTTCGAAAATTATGATTGTTATTTTCCGAAATCAAGGCTGGTCCTGAATTTTTTATTGGATTATACCTTTTCTCAAGTGTGCTGTTGAATCTTACAAGTGAAAAATGTGATCTAATTTCTTTTAGTCGAATGTAGAGAGTGATATGCCCGGACGAAATCGAAGAAAAATTCATCGGTATTTTGTTTGATATTTTTTTACCAAAACGATCGAAGTGTGCCGTACGAATTGAAAAGCCATACTTGTAGTATTTTCCCTGATCTTTCCGATTCTGATAAAAGTTTTCGAAAAATCCGATCCAGAAGATCAAAATTTTGACATCTAAAGAAAAAATGAATTTTCCAAGTCCGGATCTGGAATTTTTCATTCATAGTACGTCATCTTGTGGAGTGTCATTAGACGTTAGTTGCTAGTGGATTTCAGCCGATAACATCGAGACGTTCCTGAAATATCGTTTATTGGAGTTTTGCCCCAAATTCAAATAATGCCCTGTATTTCTGTAAAGAATAGGCAAAAAATATTTTATTATATATATATCAACTCACCTTGACCTCCTCTATCCGCCATTGGGCTATGGCTGGTTAGTCATGACTCACCCTGTATATCGTCGACGAAACCACAAAACCAACTAACTGCAAAAACCAAAATTTTCTGGAGACAGACACTAAAAACTTTATAATTTCTGGTTAACTAAATTGTTCTAAAATTGTTCTATATCCGTCATTCGGTTGCCCCCTTACGAGCAACCCTCAGAAGTCTTCAAGATTCATGTGCGAGAAAGGAATGACGGGAGCCTTACCTTTCAACGTGTGATCCCAAACACTTTCTTGGGCCATCAGAAAAAGTTCTGCAGTCGCGGGAATTGAACCCACGACCGGCAAGCGAATGCGGATTACAATACTGACACTCTGTCCGCACGGCTACCTCTGGCCCCCGAAACTGATCAGATTCAATAAAAAATAGTTGCAAATCACCTGATTATTATTATCCTCACGTGTGTACATTGATTATTGAAAAAGTCATTGTTTTTGTTTGTCAGCGTAAGATACTTGATGATTAAATCGCAAAACATTTTTTTTTTCGAGAAAAAATAATTAATTTGAAGATGACCAACAACCTATCATATGCTGAAGGCTGAAGTAGTTCATAAACATAATATATGATTATTGTGGTCAAACTCACAGGATAACTAAACACAAATGAGGTAGAAACTTGCAAAACATAATAATCCTGACACATATCATAAACAAATATGGAGAAGCGCCAAAATTAATTATGTTAGATATCGCAAAAATCAAAAAAATTATAAAAAAACTGCAGTAAGAAATTTTCATCATAGATTGCAAACCACCTCTCCCTGTATATTGATTAAATTGATAGGTATGACATGTATGTCATGCACATTCACGATACTAAATTACCCTACTACGAATTTTAGAGCAATACCTCTGGAGGATTTTGAAATATTCAAGAAAATCTCGAAATAAAATTATTCTTCAACGCACCATTTTCAGAATTTATAGTACGTTGTTCTGGGACAACTTGTAAATGGGATTGAATATTTAGTTAGGTATTAATACTGTATAAAGTAACAAGAAAAAAAAAACTAAAAATATTACATGAACATTGGTGAAATCACTGTCCATATTTGGACTATATGGCACACTCAAATATGACTAGATAGTAATAGATTTCGAAAAATCTCGAGCCCTTTCCTTTTTCACAATGACAGGACGAAAAATTTGAAAAAATACGAATGTAGGTACATATATATATAAGTATATAACTCATTGTTGCAACTTTGATGTTTCCGAAACTGGAACGATAAATAAAATGGGGTTTATTATATTAGATAGAATGACAAACAAAGTTGAAAAATCTGAAAATTCAATAAAGTACAGGGTGATTTATTCAAAATAAGGAGGTTGATAAAAATCCGGAATAACTGAAAAAGTGGCAACATTGGCTATAAAATTTTCAAATCCGCCATCACGTTTTGAAATCAAAAATTCAAAAACAACAGGTTACCGAGATATCCACCTGTTTCCATACATATCAGCGCCCCTATATAAACAGGGTGTTTCCTAACTACGGTTCCTAACTGCAGACTGCAGGTTGTGATTCATTAGGTCATTTTAGGAAGAAAGGTTCCTTCGTTTCTGAGATAAAGGGCGTTGAAATTGAAGAAAAAAAACGGTAACTATAAAATATCATGAATATCCTAGAACCGATTTGATTGAAATTTGGTACTTTCAATTGAACTAATAAGGCGCTTATTTAGCCCTATTTAGATTGAAATTATTGGGGCTAGTGGCGTCTCAGTGGGCACTGGGCACCACAGCCAACAATATTGTGAAAAAAAGTACGCCACTGACTTTTTTTGGTGAATTTTTATTTTTTTTAGATTGAGCAACTCAAAATACAACTTTTTGGTCTCCTGCATTTTCTTCATATCCAGCTTCGTTCTCGAGAAAAAAATCAAAGCCACCTGCATTGGAGAAATGAGTTTTTCATTATTTCCGCCAAAAATTTAATTGACACTTGATATGCTGGAATTTTAGAAAATTCGACAAATAAAAGTACCAAATTTCAACCAAATCGGTTCCAGGATATTCATGATATTTTATAATTACCGTTTTTCTTTCTTTAATTTCAACGCCCTGTATCTCAGAAACGAACCAACTCCGGACATATGTTCATAGGAACTTTTCTTCTTAAAACGACCTAACAAATCACCCCCTGCAGTTAGGAACCGTAGTTAGGAAACACCCTGTATATATATACAGGGTGTTCCGGTGATCATGTTACAAACTTCTAGGGTAGATAAAACACACGAAAATAAGAAAAAAAGTTCATGTGAACATGGGTCCGGAAACGCTTCTTCAGGGAGCTAGGGCCCTTCGAAGATGACCTTCAAACACTACTTTTTGTTTTATAGCTTCGGTACTACTGCAGCTATCGCAATCAATTTTGGGACATGAAATCTAGTTCGTAGGTTCATCAATTTGAGCCTTGAAATATCTCGAAAAATAATGACTTTATCGCCATGGAGAAAGAGTACAATAACTACGTCAAAATTATTGGAGGATCGAAAATTTGTGATAGAATTGCAATTCCGCCAGTGGCATAGTATTTGGGAGGGATCAACCAGAAAAGTTCATTTCACATAATTCAGTCGGGTGTATAATACCTACACTTCCCTCCAAATATGAAAGTGATACGTCAAATAGTTTTGAAGAACTGGGCAAAAAACATTTCAAAATTTTTGAATAAAACACCCTGTAACTCAGACAGGAGACATATTTCATCTAGGTGATTTGGGTTAAATCTCCATATTTTGAGTTTGGGATTCTATGGTTGAAATATTTTCAATTAGTAATGAAACACCCTGTATATGGTTCTAGTTCTAAATTTGAATGATGTCAGAATTTTCTGTTCTGACTTGATTACAATTTTGACAGAATTCTGACTTTGTAGCTCAGAACTCTGACTTTCATGAAATATTTCTTTCAAGTACAACTGAGTTGAGAGTTTCATGCCATAATTGTAACTCATATTTTGAAATTCTGGCATACAATAAGTCAGAATTTGAAATGGCTATTTTTTTTGATAAGTTTTTATACTTTTCTTGTTGATGTAGAGTAGTAATTTATACTTTCATGACAGAATATTGGGAAACTACACTGGAATTTATAATATTTGAAGTTCAGACTAGAATCCCATACCTCCTTCTATAAGAGATATTATAGATGCCTAGAAGTGTTTCCACTTGACACATTTCAAGTGGCTTTTTGGTTTGCACTGGAAAGTCCTTCTTTACTTGTCACATAATATGTTGCAGACATCAAATTCCTCACTCTTTCCATCAATTCATCCAAATCATCCAAAGACAAATCTTTAGTTTCTATCTGTGGTAGTGCAGTTATGGTCACATTTCCTAAAATAATACATTCAATGAAAATGATATCAAATTTGATGATTGAAAGTAGGTATGCAATAAGGAATAATAAAAAGTGTGAATCATATGCACCAACCAGAGCCAAAATATTTGGTGGTTTTATCCAAAAAATAATATCTGCTATACACTACTGGTACAATAGGCAATTTATTTGTGATGGCCATGTGAAATGCACCCTTTTTGAATGAATGAATTTTTCCATCATTTCTTCTGGTACCTTCAGGAAAAACCCACAATTTAATCTGGAAATACAAATCACATCTTTAGGAAAGTTCATATTTCCTTTTCAATTATTCAAAATCATTATGAAAATTCAGCTTCTTTCATTCTGATATTTTACCTTATCAGATTTCAGTCTGTTAGCAGCCTCATTCATGATATTTTTTGCTTTATCTGTTTGGATGCGAGGTATGAAAATCAAACCACAAAGATAACTGGCCAAACCAAATGGACCAGCAAATAATAACTCCCGTTTTGCTATAACTGTACATTTGTCCATAAGTCTCCATATCTCCATTATTCCTAGAATCAGAATTTACTGCCTATATATATTTCATTCACAATATTGATAATCAAACTAGAGATAAGTTAAGTGGGTATAACTTATCTCTGGAATGTATGAACACTCACCCAAGACATCCAAGGAACTTTGATGATTGGATAATATGATGCATGCTTGTTTCTTCTCTAGATTTTCTTTTCCTCTTATAGTCCATCTCAATCCAACTAGAGTAGATACAATGCGACAAAAGTCGGAGGCAACTCTGGAAAAAAATCCTTCAGCCCAGATATCAATATTAATTTGAAAATGTTGCCATTTCTCTTGGTTCACAGAAAAGAAGTATCAATCAATCAATATTATGTCTACTTACAGAAGGTTTCGTACGTCTCTTGGTCTGCAACAAAACACTGGTAAAAGGATAACTGAATTTATCATACCAATGGAATAGTACACAAAAAATTTCAAGTAATATCTGAATACATGACTAGACTCGTATAAGATTGGCAAAATCAATAAACAGACTGCTAGAATGATTTCTGGGTATGAAGCAGTCATTCCAAAAATTATAAGGTTTTTCTGGCCATGAATTTCTATTGTACACTAATCATAATTCGATTACGATAGGTGTACGCGATGACGAATTAAACGATACTTATCTCACATTATCACAAGACGATATTCTAATTCATTAATCTTCAATCAATGATCATTTGATAAGATTTGAATATTTGGTTTAATTTTCAATTTCAATACTACCACATCAAATTTATGAAAAATCGAAACTCGTCCCTTGTTTTCTCTTCTCGTCTTCTCTCTTATTATTTCTTCTTCGGTTTTTATTGTTCTCCAGTCCTCAAGGCACAAAGCCACGAGTCCAATGAAGTTGTGCTCCTAAGTCAAAATCGTAAATATTATAACCTAATTTTGATTTTATGAGAAGGTGAAAAGACCGAAAACGCGAAAACGGAAACACGAAAATAGTCAGCGAAGGACCTAGTGAAACTGTTTTTAGATAAAGAACAAGCCAACCCAGATACACGCGGCAAATTCTTTTCTGTAAAAAATCCCTAGTTGAGATATTTGGATATTTCTGTGGCCACCTTCAGCTTCAGAGGAGTCATTCACTACCTATTTCATTTTAGAGTATGGCAGAAAAAATCCAAGAAGTAAGTACATAGGAACAATGTGTTTCCACAAATATAGTATGTGCATTATCATGGTGATAGATGATTATCCATATAGAGTTATTTGCATAATAGACAATTTTTCTTTAGCTCAGAAAGGATATTGCAGAATTAGAGAGTCTTGAAAAGCATTCAACTAGACAGAAGGTTAAAGATATTTTGAGTATTGAAATTCGTAAGCTAATATCAGAGATTGTTAGATTAGAAGAAGAGGGCAGAACAAACCCAGTTTCTGCTGATGCTCCTTCAATTTCATCTAAAACTTCAAACAAAGTACATGGTGTCCAAGTGAAACTCAACAATTATGGTAATCCATTTCCAATCTTTGTACAGTTTAGTCAATGGATAACAATCCCCATGTTACAGGTTGGGATCAATCCAATAAATTCATAAAGTTTTATGTGACACTCAAAGATGTCCAAACTATTGCACCAGAAAACATCAAATGTGAATTTACCTCCAAAAGTCTTGAACTGGTAGTTGAAAATATGGAAAGTAAGAATTACATTCTGAAAATCAATCATTTACTGAAAACTATTGACCCATCTCAAAGTGACTGGAAAGTTAAAAAAGGTAATTGAAAATAAGGTCTGTTTTTATTCCCAACTATTCAACTTTGCTGGTGTTAGATGGTAGAAGATATTCAATTTTTTCCAGATATGGTCATTATCAATGCAGCAAAATCATCACCAGATCATTGGTCACATGTCACAGAGTGGGAAAAGAAAGCAAGTGATAAAAAACTTCCCAATCTTGACACAGATAAAAGTGATCCATCTGATGGGTTGATGTCTTTGATGAAAAATATGTAAGTCATATTCACAAGTTTGATGGTTGTTATGATTGAATAAGTATATGATTTGATATCAGTTCAGGATAAAATATTACCAAAGGAAGGATCCTGTTATGAGTTATTCATTGCATTTTTTCAGGTATGAGTCAGGAGATGATGAAATGAAGAGAACCATTGCCAAGGCTTGGACTGAGAGTCAAGGAAAACAGCACTTTGGTTAATATTTTTAAATAATTATGTTTCTATATTGATTTTATATTTTTATTGCTTGATGAGCTATCAGCCATAAGAATTACTATTTGGTTTTTTTACAAAATAAAATCTAGACCTGGTGTATTTTTGTTTCAAGTATTTATGTCAACTCAATCAGTCAAGCCGTTTAGTAGTTGACGTACCGACAGCAGCGCCACCTACCGCGTCCAATTATATTTTTAAATCATCCAGGGAACCATTGAAATACCCATATAAAATTTCCATCAATCATTTCAGCCGTTTGGAAGTTAAATATCTAATATCACTTCCAGTGAGACATCCAGGGTGCTCTAAAAACAAAATATTTACGCCGATATCCAGGCCGGATGAGGACGGATTTTCCGTAATAAGGGCTGGCTCTGTATGTCGTAAGACAGGCCATATTCAGGAAGAGAGAGAGAGAAGTTATGTGAAAAAGATAAGTAGGGAAGGATAATTATCACTAAATAATATTAGTTTTTTACCTATTCACTTCTTCCAACTGGATTTATAAGAACACCAAGGTTTGTAAGGTAACAGAAATATATGAAGTCAGACTGGATGAAAAGGCTATAGGCACCCAAATATAAAAATTCTTTCTATAAACAAAATCGCTTTATTGCTGATGATTGCATGTCAAACAAATAAAATATTAACTCCCGGAAAATATCAACAGAATTTCGGTTTCATAGAATACTGAAAAACAAATATCTTTCTGCTCAAAAAAATGAACACATACCAATTAAACTTAACATTATGAAAACTCAGGTAAATTCTATAAATAATAATGATTTCAACTTAAAATTAACAGTCCAATAATAAAAAATAAATTAAAATCCTTATTCATAAACTTATAAATACATGGCATTCTAAGTTTTATAAAAAAAATCAAGGAACAACGTTGTGGCTTCTCTTTGGCTGACTTGGATTTGAATTATATACAGGGTGTTTCAGATTTAAATGTACATACGATACCTGTAGATAGGGGACACTGTGATGGTTCCAAATTACCCCCCTTTGATGTGTCTACCGTTTTTTATAACTGAGATACAGGATGATATCTTGATTTTGGCAAAATCATCATCTGGTCATATAGCTTTTGAACAACTTTGTATAATCTATCTACACTTGGTAGAACTATTTCACTTATATTACCCATCAAAACTAAATGAAAATCGGGATCAGAAACCAGGTCCGTCTTGAGGAAAAACAGAAAACTTCTTTTATATCAAGAACAACACTCTGTATGGCGAAATTTTTTTAGATCTGTTTCAATATTTCAAAAGAGCAGGAAAAAACGAATGAGGTGACCTACTTTTTACGACCGCGCATCCGATTTAAGAGATGTTTTATTATTATGTTCTGATATACTCGGCTCCATTTTGAGTCATTTTCATTGAACTCGTAATTCAAAATCCAATTATTTCACAAAATAATAACGTCCTTCAAGTTCAACATCAGTGGTGTGAAATAGATAAATCTGTTCGTTTGACAGAATAGCGTCTGTGATTTTGTAAATTTTTGAGGACTTGTTTTATTCTTTACTATTGATTCATGAGCTGCGGTAAATCTATCAATTGTTCACCTAATTTATTTTTGATGATGATCAACTTTGAAGACAATTATTTTTTTGTATCAAAATTGGATTTTGAAAAACAGTTCAATAAAATTTCCTCGAAATGGGGTGAATATTTCAAAACATAATAATGAACTATCTGTCTAATTGGATGCGCGCTTGTTATAAGTAGGTCACTACATAAATTTTTTCCTGCTCTTTCCAAATATCAAAACAGATCCACAAAATTTTGCCATACAGAGTGTTGTTTTTGAAATAAACAAGTTTTCTGTTTTTCCTTAAGACGGACCTGGATTCTGATCTCAATTTTTATTTAGGTTTGATGTGCAATATAAGTGAAATATTTCTACCAAGTATGAATAGATTATACAACGTGGTTCAAAAATTATGACCAGATGAAGATTTTGCCAAAATCAAGATAACGTCCTGTATCTCAGTTATAAAAGACGATAAACATATCAATGGGGGTGATTTGAAACCGTCAACTTGTCCTCTATCTGCCAGTATCGTATGTACATTTAAGTCTGAAACACCCTGTATAGAGCTTATGAAGAGTACTCAATTCAACTTTCTGTGCAATACTTCTTCTGGGATTCTCGATTCTGGTTTAGAAAAAATGGGATTGTTTGAAATTTAAAGTGAATGGTTTCCAGGAAGGAAAAATTGACTTTTGAAAAAATCAAATAAATTGGTAGGTACCACGAAGTGATAATATTACAATAATTATATCATTCCGGTTTTTTCAGTTCTACTCCCAAAAGTAGGTACTCTGCTACCTACTTCAAAATATATATTTTATTCACCAAAAAATGTATTCCAAACCGGAATTTGGAATTCCAAAAGAAGAACTACCAAAATCCATCGAATTCAGTAATCCCAAACTATAACTTCAGTTCAGGCGATATGGTACTGCGAGGTACTTGCAACTTCTGTATGACATCGTGCATTTGAGGATGGTTGTGTCCGTTGTAGGACAGCAATATCGGCCCGTTCAGCGTCGTTAAGCATCCCGGACAATTCAAGGTTTTCTTTTTGACACACACCCACAAGCTGCGAATGTCCTTCTTGTCACATAAGGTGTAGATATGGCCGTTATGAACCAGCACTAGCTGACCTCTGCCGCTCTTGAGTAAAAGCAAACCTGAAATATTCAGGTGAGATTCACTGAAAACCGATTTACCTAAGATTGCGAATGAAAAATGGTGTATTTATTTATCAAATTATGGCTTTCAGTCGAAAACAGGTCCTGGTAAAAAGGAAGTAGTTAACAATAATATCAATACATACAGGGGGTGATATTTAACTTTAACTATAACTTTCCCACCCTCAATATATCCTATTTCCTTCCAGTGAATAATATGAGAAATCGAAAAATAGGTCGATTTTATTTTCAAGGTTGACGTATATTTAAAATGTAGTAGGTATAGCTGGTAAAATAATTCGCGATAGAAAATAACACGTCGCTCCATCTGACGGCTACAACTGGAACACTTCTGAGCGGTTTGTTATGATGCTATGAGCACAAACAAAAAACAAATGTGAACCAATGAAAACATAGTAAACAGGCCGCTTTGACAGCTTTCAAGAACTCCGATAGGTGGCGTACGCTTATTTTCTATCGCGAATTATTCTAGTAATTCTCAGAGTTTGAGCTGATCCTTGTTTGAGTGAATGAATGATTGAAATAATTGATATGTTATATGGTCTCTATATGGATGACATGACAAAATTCAGGCGAATAAATATATATCTTGAGTTCTTTCTTGAATTTTTTGGCACTTCATTGTGAAGAAATAATCCATTGTAATATATATACAGGGTGGCCCACGGTCGATGGTACCTTAGACGTATACGGAAAACGGTACATTGGATTATCCTGAAAATTTGGTTACTCTAATAAGCGTTTATTGTGATCTAACGATTCAAAATATTTTCAGCGAAGCAGCGTTGCCACTTTAACCAAAAAGTATCATCATCTTTGTTATTTCTAATGGAACACCCTGTATTTTATTGCGTTTTTAGTTTCTCTCCGAAGAGCTGATTTCATCAATGCATCACACTTGGGGTCTAACAGGAATTATTACAGAGATATAGGGTGTTCAAAATCGAGATTTATCAACTTCAGGATTTTTTGTGTCGAAACTATTCATCATTGGTCAAAACGGCTCACATGTCCCTATATTAACTTTTGATTAACTATCTACCGACATTCAATTGGAAAAAATACAGGATGGTCCAAGATTCAGAATTTTGATCACTCTGTATCTGTTCCAATTAAATGTTAGTAGATAGTGAATCAAAAGTTAAGATAGGGACATGTAAGCCGTTTTGATCGATAATTTCGACACAAAAAAAAATCATAAAATTGAGAAATCTCGATTTTGAACACCCTATATCTCTGTAATCATTCCTGCTAGACCCCAAGTGTGATGCATTGATGAAATCAGCTCTTCGAGAAGAATCTAAAATGCAATTAAATACAGGGTGTTCCATTTGAAATAACAAAGATGCTACTTTTTGGTAAAAGTGGCAACGCTGCATCACTAAAGATATTCGAAGAAAATCTCAAAATAAGTTTTAGATAATTCGAAGAAATTTCATGTCTAATTCAGTAAAGTACTCCTATTATTGGTGATAGTTTTTTAAATTTTAACAGAAAATCCTAAAACAGTTATAGAGGAGTCTCTGAGGCTCTGAAAAGTTGCTCTTAATGCCTTTTTGTGGCCCATTATTGGTTATAAAATTTCCAAAAGTGTTAATGTGGTTAAAAATATCAAAACTATCAAAAGGTTTTTGAAATAAAAGTCCCTCTGTTTCCAGTCCGCGTTTTCAATTGCATGTACCTATTGTAATAATATATTGCCGCTGTGTGTCAATATTTTTTCTATCGATCTAGAATTTTTTAAATCTTGCAAAAGGATTATAAGTTTCCAGAAATCAAGATCGTTCATTTCATAAACCAATTTATTATTTCATTAGAATCAGAAGCAGAAGTATGGTAGTTTGCTTGCGAGTCCAGCAGAGTTATTTTTTACTACAGGAAACCGGTCATAGAAAGAACACGTTGAATTGATAATATTTATTGGTTGTCATGTTTCAGCTCTAACGGAATTTTCATTTCAATAAACACACGAAACGAAAAATATAATATAACAATCACTGTAAATAAATCACAAAATATAAAGCTGACATATTTACACTTGATGAAACATTCAGCCCCCGTACCTCCAAAACCATCCCACTAATTTTATTCATCAGAAAAACACATACCTTCCTCATTTTATATTCTTCAGGATACCACCAGATTTCAAACATTAAATTACAAGGCCTAAAGTTGAATCTATCTACATACAGGGTGATTCATGGGAAATGGGAAATTGAGATAACGGCTTCGCTGTTTGAGATAGATGAACGAAAAATTTTGTGATGGTCTATGCTCATGAGCAGCACATTTCCACAGGGTGACTCAAAAATGCGTGACGTATCAAAGTTATACATAGTATCAAACTATTCATTATCGATCAAAAACGG